TTGCTGGAAAATGACTTAGAGTCCCCTTTTAGAGCTGAATTGTAGTTTGTTCTTATTACAAAATTACTGTTGATAGGCAGTCTTCTAGGCCTCTTTTGCAAAGTATACAAGCACCTACTTAATTGCTTTCCTCAGTCAGGGCTGTGAACTCAGTGCAGAAACTAGTCGGGCATAGCCCATCTCTATACCACACAGCAAAGTATATCACTGAAAGCATCATGATAATTTATTATTATAGAGCCAAATCTTGAAATCTTCACTCACTCCTTACTGAGGCAAAACTTTCAATGAGTTCAATAAACATACTTGAGTTTTCCTCCATAAATCGTGAATGAGATGTAGCTTATATCTTATCAAGAATTATGAAAATAATTCTGGACACTAAGGTGGAGAGCTCAATTATATAAAAATGTCTGATTGCTGGTACTGTGGTAATCCCTAGCAAAATAAAAAACATATTCTTCATTGATCATTAGTTTATTTTTAATGTAATGACTCATTTATACCATAGAGCTGCACATCTAATTGGAATCCTTTCAACTTTCACATTCAAAACTGAAATGTTAGGCTTGAAATAGGCAAAGTTTATCTCTCTTAATAGAATGGGTTAAGTGATATAAGGCAGTTGACAAAATCAGGTCAAAAAGCAGAAGTAGGAATAATATGAGTCTAAGAAATAGTTTCTGTCGAAAAGAGAGAATCAAAAAATGTCAGGCTTTTCGTTAATTGCTTGAAGTTTTCAAAAATTAATTACACCCACAGCCTTGTTTATTAGAGCAAACAAATGGCTTCTAGTATAGTGAACGGAGAAATGTAGGATGGAAAGAAAATAAATATAACTCTACCAACTTCCCTACTTCTAACTAAAGTTATTCCTTGAATTTAATTTAAATGCAAAGACTTCAGTCATGAAGCTAATTACTAATCCTTGATATAGTTACAGAAGCAACCGCCTTCATAATTAATTCATTAAAATGTTTGTATTACTGGGCATTAAGAATACCAATGTTGACTTTCAAAAGCAGGAATATTGGTCTTGACATTTTGACTCTTCAGAGATTTGCAATTTTCTAACCGTTAATTCCCAATTCCACATGACAGCAACCAATACTGATTCTTCTCTCACACAGACTCATTTAAATCAGCGTAACTACCTTGAAATCAGTGGAGCTGTACCAGTGCAAAGCTGAGAATTGAGTTCCCTATCTCTAAGAATGCTTTAAAAGAATATTATGATAGCAGCTAACCAAACACACCTAAGAAGTAAAGCCATATGATTTTTGTTTGCAAGACTTACCTGTATTTCTCACTTCCATGTCACTAGGAAGGCCGTATCAGTATGCCATCAAACAGAGCTTATATCCTTAGATTTTAATCAGCAATGAAAAGTAAGACGGTTTGTGGCTCTAGTTCAGAGGACAGCATGTATGGAGGCTGAAGAGGTGGACAGAATGTGTTCCTTGAAGCACAGAGATTTTACAGTTCTAACGCAACGGACATTGCTAGACTTCCCAAGGCAAGTCAGAAGGAATGTGGAGAATGGAACTGCCCCCTTCCATGCCCCTGATCTGCAGAGTTGGCCTACAGAGTAGAAAGCTGAAACTACTGTATCCTCTTCAACTGTGGCAGAGTAGTCCTGCTTAACTTGCTTTCCCCTGAACACAAGGGAAGATCCTTGAACACAGAATGCTCTTGTTTCAGGCACATTTCTTTCTGGAAATCTTGCTGGAGTCATGGCCCACTTGCCTACCACTCCATCCCATCATCCTCATGACACAGAGCAGTCTTTGGCCCCCGGAAGCACATCTTTATATATGTTACAATGGTTTCTTATTAGCTAGCGTCCAGGGACAGATCCATCATTTTGGAAAGGGGGTGCAGGAGCAGTGACCTGTGCTACAGGGATGGCTGCATCCTGGTTCCAAGCTTCCCCTCCCACACATTGGGGCAGGGGGGTGGGCAGACTGTACAGCAGAAGCAGCAGCAGTAGGGAACTTTCCTATATCCCGCAAGCAGGTAAGAATCTTCCCTTCCCTGCCCTCTGTTCTCAGTGCTATGTTCCCTCCCCTTCCCTCCCATTCTCCCTTCCCCTGACCACTGCTGCCCCTGTCCCTAGCTGACCTGTTGGTGGTTGGGAGGGGGTCCAGAGTTGTTCTTGCCAAGTTCCAGCTGGGCTGCACATGGATCCATGCTCAGCTGGAGACAGCAGCTGTAGTGACAACCACAGGCAATTTCCCTTCCCCTATACCTACTCTTGGGCTGGCAGGGAACAATAAGGAGACTGGGCAGGGAGGATGGTCCTGAGCTCTGCTTGGAGGCTGGCTAGAGCAGGGCAGAAACAGCTCTGGAGCACTCCTGACCCCTCTACCTCGCACATCAGCTGGGGACAGTGGCAGCCGCAGTAGCAGATAGGGGAGAGGAGACAGGAGAAGAAGGAAGGGGATAGAAACAGTTGGAAAGGGCTGCATCTGCGCCATTGCACCCCCCTGGATCTGCCCCTGATAGTGTCAAATAAATGTTAATCGATAGCCCAGCCCATAGTCCAAACCTACTAGATTGAAATTTGCTCTTTGAATAAAAAAAATGTGGCTAGCTGCAAATATTTGCAACTCTTGAAGGGAGTTACTCTTGCTGCTGCAATAACCTTGGTGCACAGGCCTTGTTAATGAAATAGGGTGGAATCTGAGGATGTTCATGCAGCTGTTGGACAGGAATGTGAGCACTGTAAATTCTGTATAGAGCATATATTATTCAGTATAGAAAGACATGAGTGCTGCGGAGATGAAACCCCATTGAAAACGAAACAAAACACTGAGGTTCCTAAGTTGCTTAAGCGCTTCTGAATTTTTTTTCCATGGCCCCATGCCTCAAGGAGATGACTTTCTGGGTTGGACACAGATGTTGGCTGTCATGGTTCTTCTACTTTACCTGTGGCAGGTTAGGGTTTTAGGTCTGTGTTGTGTCAGGGTTGAAAGTAGTCTTATGTAGAGTTTAGATTATGGTTTGGATGAAGCCATTTGGCTAGGGCTAGTTCTGCCTCAGGCAGAGGGTTGGCCTAGACCTCTGGTGGCTCCTTCCAACCCTGCTTCTCTATGATGTTGGCTGCCATGGTTTCCCTGCTTTACCTGTGGCGAGTTCAGGTGTTATGTCTTGTGTTGTGTCAGGCTGGAAGGTAGTTTTTAAAAGAGTTTATGGCTCATATGGGGTGGTTTGGATAGGGATCATCCTGCCTCAGGCAGGTGGGGTTGGACTAGATCAGAGTTTCTCAACCTGTGGGTTGCAACCCAAAAGTGGGTCACAAGAGTATATGAAAGGCTTGTGAGCAAACTTTAAAAATGGATCAATAAACTTTAAAATGGATTCTCCTTTAAAGGAGAAAAATGTGGGAAACTGTGGTTTTCCCTTGTAGGCTGGCAGTTTGCCCAGCACCAAAAGCCCTCTCCTTGCCCCCAAAACCCACCCCCCTGCCCCACACACTGAGGGGCTGGGGCAGCAGGTTGGGAGTGGAGGGCACTGGGTGGGACTGGCCATCAGTGATTACAAATGGGTCCTGGTACAAAAAAGGTTGAGAACCACTGGACTAGATGACCTCTGGTTCCTTCCGGGCTGAGATAAGTTTAGATGTGCAGATGCAGATCTCGGCCTTTGTGTCCCATTCTGAGACAAGGGCAGATGGTATCAAGCGAAAAATCACCTGGCAATCTACACAGTATAAATAAGGAATTCCAGGGCGCATTTACATGTGCACTTTAATGTGCATTAGCCTGTTTTAATGGGCATTAGAGTGTCACTTAAAAATCCATGTGCTTTCCCTAACGCACATTAAAATAGGCGAATGCGTATTAAGTGTCACTTAAAAACCATGATCTTTAGTTCATGTGCATTAAGACAGGCTAATGTGCATTTTCCTAGTACCTCACAATGGAGGGCATTTGTACTCAGAGACGACCCTAGCAGGGTGTGGGGCCTCCTTAATACTGCGTGGGGCCGTGGTGTCCTCATAAAGGGTGCTGGGGGTGGTCTCTGTGCTCCTTCCGGAGCACAGGTCTGATCCACCAGCTCCAGGCGGGTGCCACAGGAGGGGCCACAGCCCCTCTGCCCAGTGCTGCAGGCCCCCCCAAAGCACGGGGCCCAGGGCAGTTGTCCCGTTCGCCATCCCCTAGGGACGGCTCTGTTTATACTCATACATTATTTTGATACATTTTCGATTAATTGAGTCTGCTCCGCCTGCAAGCTGACGTGTGCTGCGCTGCATCGCGTGCGGCTGCCTAAGCAGTGAAATGCAGAAAATGGCAGCGATGTGCTTTTGAACTAAAACACATAGCGGGTGTTTTAGTTCAAAAGTGCGCTACTACCATTTTCTCAGCACTGGTGTGCATTTCGCCGCTTAGACAACGCGGTGCCCAGTGTTTTGCAGCGCACGCCTGTGTACAAATGCCCCATGGTACTAGATTATAGCGCCTTAACTGAAGCAGGTTAATGCAGGGAGACGGGCGCCCCCAAGAGGAAACCTGTGCCTCTGCACGCGGGGCTGGTGTTTTTCCCAGCCGATGCAACGCGGCTCTTGTCCTTTTTCTTGGGTTTTGTTCTGTGTTTTCTCCTCTCTGGGCGCGCGGGACGAGGCAAAGGGGCCACCCCACACGTCCGCGCCCTGCAGGGACAGGCGCCCCGCGCTTTCCGCCGGGCGTGAGGCGGCGTTTTAGACCGTGCAACAAGAGCAGATGGGAAGGGAGGGGAGGGAAAAAATCCAGCCCCCAAAAAGGGGCTGAAGTTGTGCGGAGGGAGCTGAGAGGCGACGGCCTTTCCCGAAGTTTAGGGGCAAGCGGGGGCCGT